CTCCCTATCATGAATAAAATAAATAACCTTTAAAAACAAAAAGGAAGCAAAGTGGTCACTTATTTCAGAGAGAAAAAATAGTTACTGAAGAAATATAATTAAAATATGCTGCATGAAAAAGCTATGAATGTTTTTATCACCATGAAAAAAAAATGACACAGAACTTAATGAAAGACTGTATGATAACTACAGTAGGATATTTTATTTATATATATGTAAAATACATTACACATATATATTTCATACATATATATTAAGGGAAATGTACTGGTTGGACAAGAGAAGGGTAAAATACCTGAATCCTCATATTCCATGGCAGGAAATTAATAGATAATATCTAAAACAATAAGTAATCAAGAGACAACAACACAGGGGCTAGCAAGTAGTGTTGTGGATTCTCACGTGGCTGGCCATGGCTCAAGTCCCAGACACAGTGGCTTGAAAGTCAGGCCAGGTGCGTGTACATGCATGACCAAAATCCAAAGAGGAGGATGGAGGAGGAAGGACTGCAATGTTGGTATCCCCCAGGGAGTGATTTCTCACTTTCCCTCTCTCTGTCTCCTCTCAAGTGAGCACACGTGCCCCATGGCATCCCCCAAGGGATGATTTCTCACTTTCCCTCTCTCTGTCTCTCTCAAGTGAGCACATGTGCCCCATGGTAAAAACTTAAAAAATAAAGTAAAAAAAAGAGAGACAACAGCACAAATATGACCATAAGAAATATGAGATCTCAGAAGAATCATATTTATATCTGCCTCTAAGGAAAAAGATTTAGAGGTAGGAAGGATTATGGCATAAGAACATTGTTTTTTGTTATACATCTTCCTAAAATATGTATAGATATCCCTTTGATAAAAAGTAAAAATAAAGTTGAAATAAAACAAAGATCAAGTCTAATGATGCAGTTGGTGGCAAATGGAATGACACCACTGGAAGTCACATGGCCAACTGTGGTTGAAATCCCCAGGTCAGCATGAAAACATGCTGGCCACATGTATAGGTGCTCAAGTTCGTGAGGATCTGAAGAATGGAGAAAGGGGAACATGGTCAAAGAGAATCTTGTCAAGGGTGCTGTTCTTTCCTCTCTCTGTCTCTTTCTAATGCACACTTACACGTGCTCTATTACAAATAAAATAAACTTCAAAAAATGTAAAAAGGTTTCTTTACTACAAAGTTTTAAATGGAGGTCCAATATGCTGGCATTCCTAGGAAAAGTATTTTGAGATCCTAAGTGTGCTAGAAACAAAATTTAAAGCATTATCCACTGTCAAACAAAGTAAGATTGAATGACTATAATGCCACACCAAGCTTTCAAGAAGAAATGTGAGCAGGGATGACTAGTATAGACAGAAATAGTACACACTGCATTCTGGAATGCATAGGGATTTAGAAGGGCTAGGAAAGGTGCCTCAGCTTTGAGTCCAAGGAGCTTATAACGTTCAAGACTGGGAAGACTGGGGAATTATTACCTCTTCCCTGGGGTTCTTTTTCCATAGTACCCTTCTCTCTGAAATTATGACCCACAACTTCCTGATACCAAAATACCCTGGCCATTCTTATATAAATAATTTTTTTTGGGGGGAGAGGTTTTTGCCATAGGGCATGTGTGCTCGCCAGACAGACAGAGAGAGACAGAGAGACTGAAAGCGAGAAATCACCCCCCAGGGGGTATGGCCATGCTGCAATCCCTTCTCCTCCATTCTCCTCTTGGGATCTTGGGCACGCACGCACACGCGCCCGGCGTGAGTTTTAAGCCACCGGGTCCAGGACTCGAACTGCAGTCGACTACATGGGAGTCCAGCGACATAGCCATTACGCTAACTGCTGGTCTCTAAATAAATTTTTAAAAAATACATACACACGTAAAATAGATATTTCCAAATGGCTATCATTTCCTGTCACAAAAGACATTCCTAAGTGTTCAGGTGTGCTAATGATTAATTCTCTCATCTTCCATCTATCTAAAAATGTCTTTAACTCACTCTATATATGAAGGATATTTTGACTTGATATAAAATTCTCATTTTACAAATTTTTTCTTTCAGTATTTTAATATCATTTCACATGTCTGCTTTTTAAAAGTTTATTTATTCATTATTGCTACTATTTTAATTTGCTAAAGAGTACATGTGTTCAACAGAGAGAGACAGCAAGAGACAGAGTGAGAGAGAAAGAGAAAACAAGCCACCAGGTGCAGGATTTGAACCAGGTCAGCCATGTGGGAGTCCAGCATCTCAACCACCATGCTACTTGCTAGTCCCACAATATCTTCTAAGGGCTCAGTAGTTACACATATCATTTCTCCCTTATAAGTAATGTTTTTCCTTTTGATTGCTTTTAATATATTTAATTTTCAGCATTTTAGTTGTGATATGACCAGGTATGGTTCCCTTTATACAAGGAGACTTCAGAAAGTCTGTGGAGAAATGGAATTAAAATAATAGTTTATTTTGGTGCCAGTAAGATTTTGAAATTCACATAGTTTTGCCATAGTATGAACTTTCTGAAGACCATTAGTAGTTCCGAGATATAGGATTGTTGGGTCTGATTTCTCATCACATCTAGAAAGTTTGAGCCATTACTCCTAATTTCTTTTTGTCTCTGTCTTACTCTTCTCCTTTCAGGATTCAAATTATATGATTTTCTGAGCCTCTATTTTACTTCAATATTTTTCTCTCTGTTCATCATATAGATCTCTATTGTTCTGTTCTCAAGTGTGCTAGTTCTTTTTTACTCCCATGTCCAGTCTTCTGCTATCTCATCCAGTAAACCTCTAATGTATTATTGTACTTTGCAGTTCTAAAATATCCATTTGTTTCCATGTTCTTCAGAGATTCCTTTTCTGTACAATCTTAAAGACTATATTTTCCTTTTTTCTGTAAGCATATCTACAATAGCTTCTTTAAGTCTTTGCTAAGTCCAATATTTGTCCATTCAAACTTCTACTGACTGCTTCATTTTCTGACTGTGTATCATTACTCTCATCCTACTTTTTTGTTGGGTCTAGTGGTTTTTAATTAAATCCTAGTTAATGTGAATAAGATATTATAGACAGTACAAACTATTATATTCTTCTGAAGAATAATAATTTATTGCTAAGCACATAAAAAATTACTGACTGATCGTGAATATATGTTCACTAATAATTACATTCTGTAAGTACATATTAATACAAAGACTAAGATTCATCACAAGTCCCTCAACTTAACAGGACCACTTCCAAACTCTGGGTATCTTATCATGGCTTGCATTTACACTATTAGACAGATTTAGAGTAGGTCTTCAATGTTACAAAGGCCTTAACTAACTCTTGGGCTGAAAACACACGGTCCCCTAGCACTCTTTCTTCTCTGGCACTGCTTGATATCTAGTAAGTCCGTCCTGTTTTCAAACAGGCATCATCCACTACTGGCAAATTTCATATAGTCTTGTAGTGCACATGTATAGCCCAACCCTCATGAAGTACCTCCACACAGATACTTTAGGATCTCTCTCTGCACAATTCCTTCCTCTCCAATTTCAAAGCCTGTAGGCTCCAGCGACTGCAGCTAACCCAACTCTGATCTCTTTTCTAAGCTCTAAAGAACTACAACACTCTGCTCTAACTCTAGCTTTCTGTGTTAGAGTCAGGTACAATGCCAATCATATGCAACTGTGAAGCATACCTTATAAGTTCAATTCTGTCCACTGTCCACTGTCCACTGCCTGAGAACAGCTGTCTCAAACACTGTGCCCAACTTTACAGCTGTTTATAGGGGGCAGACTAATGTGGTCCCAATCATTCTTTCCATCATGACCAGGAAGAGGTCAGAAATCCTTTTCAAAGAATTATCTCTTTGATGATAACGTGTATAGTATCCTCAACTGAACTGGTGCGAAGTGTACTCATGTAGGATAAATTCGCTTTACAAGCTAAGTGATGTAAAGTGATTGAATGTTTAAAATAAATAAAATAAAATAAAATAAGAGATTATCTCTTCAGGATACATCTTTAAAAGTCATATTACTCTTCCAAAGTTTGTGATGTTTTCATAGCCTTTATACTGTATTAAAGAGAATTGTACTTCAAAATATTTTCAATCAATTAAATTGATATGTTGGGTTTTCAGAAAAGTCATGATGTATTTTTTCTATGTTTTTCTATGCAAAAACGCATCATGGCTTTTTTTGACAACGCAATGTATTTAGATCTCTGTTACACAACCAGGAAAATGAAGTTTAGACAAAACAACAACAATAAATAAGGAATAAGAGTTGGGCACATAAACTTAAATAAATGAAAGAAAACAACTGAGGGGGTTAGGGTTAGCAGAAGTTAAGTAAAGGGTATCATGAAACTATTAATCATCAACCTAGACAACTTTCAGAAGTAAGGATTCATTTGTTGAACTCTGTCCCTCAGAATAAGAAAAAGAAATAGAAAGACAAAGATGTAAAAGTAAGGATGGTGTTATATTTTCTTTTTCTACATAAGACTTATTTTCCTTATCGCTCTGGCAATTTAAAAATATCTCTAGCATTGGGACCAGCAGTTAGTGTAATGGCTATGTCACTGGACTCCAACGTAGTCGACCACGGTTCGCCTCCCGGACCCAGTGGCTTAAAACTCACGCCGGGCATGTGTGCGTGCGTGCCCAAGATCCCAAGAGGAGAATGGAGGAGAAGGGATTGCGGCGTAGCCATACCCCCTGGGGGGTGATTTCTCGTTTTCTGTCTCTCTGTCTGTCTCTGTCTGTCTGGCGAGAGCACACTCCCTTTAGCAAATACCTCTAATTTATATATATATATATAAAACAATAATTAGTTACCAGCTAAAGAAGGAATAAGAACAAGTCTCAAAATTAACAACTTTAATTATGGAAGGAGGTGCAGCACAGATAAATGGATGGACAGACTGATGGATGTATAGATAATATAAATAGATGGCTTCTAAAACAGGTAAGACAAATAGTAAAAGAAATGTCTATGGGTTAAATAAATTAAGATTTATCATTATTTACCGTTCCATCTTCCATCAGCTTCAGACAAGAACCAAAATCTGCTAACCGAATATGTCCATTCATATCCATCAATATATTGTCAGGTTTAATGTCTCTGAAAAAATAAATACATCCAATTTTTAGTTGGGAAAAGTAATCAGCTGCTTGGTAAGACAACCATTTTGTCTGAAAATCTCAAAGTCTTTTAAAAGTAATACTCTAAGAACATCTATTTAGCTACTTTATGGGTTCAAATTCTGGCTCTGATACATATTAATTTTTTAAACCCATGTATATTCAGTATTCTCCTGGGGGATACTGTGGTAATTTTCATAGTAATAAAAGTAACTGTACCTGCTTTACTTTAGATTTATGCAGGTTCCAGTGTGACTATGATAGGCCTTCTTTCTTCATATCAAGAATGATACCCACAAAAAATACTATCCTCTAGACCATGATATTGGACAGGAGGGGAAAAAATACATTTCCTAGACCCTAATCATAAACACAGATAAATTCTAAAATCCTATCTGTTTGCCTGCCTGCCTGTCTGTTTCTACAGTTCATGACATCAAAAAGGAATCCATTCATGTGAACTTTTAAGACTAAAAACCTCCAAATAATGGCCAGCCAGGTGGTGTGGTGATTAAGGCAGCTGGATCCTACATGATTAACTGTGCAGTTCGCATTCCCGACCTGGATGCTTGAAAAATATGCCTCGTGCATGTACATGCATACCCAAAATCCTGGAAGGAGAACAGAGAAGGGACTGTAGCATGGTCATCCCTCTAGGGAGGCTTTCTCACTTTTTCTCTCTTTCTGTCTCTTATTTCTCTCTAGTGAACACATACACACTCTATAGCAAATTTAAATAATAATAATAATAAAACTGCCTAAAAGATTATACCACTTAAAGCTTTCACTATTTGTAGATGTTAAGGCAATGACTTTTTTTTTTTTTTTGGAGAGATTTTCACTGTAGGGCGCGTGCGCTCGCCAGACAGACAGAAAGAGACATAGAGACAGAAAGCGAGAAATCACCCCCCGGGGGGATGGTCACGCCGCAATCCCTTCTCCTCCATTCTCCTCTCGGGATCTTGGGCACGCACGCACACGCGCCCGGCGTGAGTTTTAAGCCACCGGGTCCGGGACACGAACCGCGGTCGACTACGTGGGAGTCCAGCGACATAGCCATTACGCCAACTGCTGGTTCCCTTAAGTCAATGACTTTTAAGATGTCCGAATCTAAATGGTTTTGAATTTTAATGCAAACTGTGGAAAAATAATCATACACAAAAATAATTTCATCAAGAAAAGTCTTAGACACTCAATAATATGAAGTTCTAATCACATTCTAAATACTGTATTGTAGAGCTTACCTCATAGCTCAGAGGTTAAGACCTGTGCATTAAGAGCCATATCTCATGTGGCTAATCACTGTTCAAACCCTGATCCTGGCACCTTGAAAAGCACACCAGATGCACATAGATGTATACCCCAAATCCTGATGGGATGAAGGAATGGAGGACAAAAGATCACAGTGTGACCATGCCCCAATACAGGGTGTTTGTGTACATGTGTGCTCTCTTTTTGGTGAGTGCATGAGCCCTTTGGTACATAAGAAAGAATGAAAATAAAGATTGCAATTGTGAATAACTAAGATATTAGATCCTACAATATATTTTACTTTTAGATGAAGAGAAAGAATCTTCTATGTCTACTACAGAAATGTACAAAAACATCTACTGGGTGCATGTGGTTAGTCAGAGTATGGTAGGGTCACGGTAACCTAAATTACAACATTGAAGGTTCTCTATTTCCCATCCCCCCCCCCCCCCCCCGCTTAACATGGCTATAATATTAGCACTACTTTCATTACTGAGGCAATTTTTGTGTGTTGTACATCACAGATTGACAAATTATGACCCATGAGCCAAACCCAGCCTGCTAGCCTGCTCCCTGCTCTTGGAAATGAAGTGCTACTATAGCATAGCTATTTAAGTATTGGCTATGTCTACTTTCACTCTACAATGGCAGAATGGGTAGTTACGTCAGAGATCAGATGGCCTAAACCACCTAAAATATTCACTATAGGGGGAACAGCAGTTGGCTATGTCGCTGGACTCCCATGTAGTCGACCGCAATTTGAGTCCCAGACCCTGTGGCTTAAACTAACACCAGGCGCATGTGCACGCGTGCCCAAGATCCTGAGAGGAGAATGGAGGAGAAGGGATTGCGGCGTGGCCATCGCCCCTGGGGGAGTGACTTCATGTTTTCTGTCTCTCTGTTTTTCTCTGTCATTCTGGTGAGCGCACGCACCCTATAGCAAAAACCTCTCAAAAAAAAAAAAAATTCACAATAGGGCTCTTTATAGGCGTAGTTTTTCAACTCCTATTGTACATGACAGACAACTGTTTAACAGAGATATACAGACTGAAAACCACAATCTGTATAGGAAATTGGCTTCCTAATCCTCAACATTTTAATTTATCCTAAACCATCAAAAAGTTATTAAGCAAAGACTTTCTGTTATTTGAAAACATCAAAGAAGTACATTTTCCATGGCAGAAGGAAGCTTAGAAATTACTTAAGCCAAAAGAAAAAAATAATTACCTAGACTGTGTTTAGATGAGGACACAAATGTATTTATTTTTTATTGAAAGAAATTAAATACAGTCACTATAAATTACTGCTACTGACATAATAGCTCTCAGATTTCAAAGGCTATTTAAAAAATTGTAAAGACAGGGACCAGCAGTTAGCATAATGGCTATGTCGCTGGACTCCCATGTAGTTGACTGTGGTTCGCATCTCGGAACCGGTGGCTTAAAACTCACACCCAGCGCGTGTGCGTGCGTGCCCAAGATCCCGAGAGGGGAATGGAGGAGAAGGGATTGCGGCATGGCCATCCCCGGGGGGGGAGGGGGTGTATGACTTCTCACTTTCTGTCTCTCTGTCTCTGTCTGGCGAGTGCATACGCCCTATAGCAAAAACCTGTTCAAAAAAAAAAAAATTGTAAAGACAGGATTAATAAATATCAACAGTATTTTTGGCTATTTCTAGAACAGTAAGTATTAAAAATTAATAAGACATAAAGTACATTAATGTGAATATATGTGTACTTACAATACTATATAAATAAAATAGGAAACACTAAAAATTGCTAAGACATTATAGATAATACTTACACTCCCTAATTATTTCACTGCCACTCTTGATCACATCCCCTTTCACTTCCGAGAGGCACCCACTATGCTGAATTTGGTGCTTACTATATCCATGCATATTTTACACTATTTTCCACATAAACAAAATCATAAAACTTTGTATAGTATTTTTGAATGTCTTTAGACTTCACAATTAAAACCTAACTGTGAGTAGCCTTTTGCAACTTTCTATGCCATCTCATCTCTGACATAACTACCCATTCTGCCATTGTAGTATGAAAAATATACAGCCAATATTTAAGTAGCATGTTTTTTAATGATCTATTTTAGCACATATTGCTCTAGCTCATTAATTTTAATTGCTGTACAGAATACTATCGTGTGTGGGACCAGCAGTTAGCATAATGGCTATGTCGCTGGACTCCCACGTAGTTGACCGCAGTTCGAGTCCCGGACCCGGTGGCTTAAACTCACGCCGGCACATGTGCATGCGTGCCCAAGATCCCGAGAGGAGAATGGAGGAGAAGGGACTGCGGCGTGGCCATCCCCCCGAGGGGTGATTTCTCGCTTTCTATCTCTATGTCTCTGTCTGTCTGGCGGGCACACGCACACTATAACAAAAATCTCTCAAAAAAAAAAAAAGAATACTATCGTGTGTGTGTGTGTGTGTGTGTATAAATTTATCAATTCCCAATTATGGAATTCAGATGGTTTCCAATTTTTATTTTACTATTGCATAAACTGCTGACATGAGTATTTTCTTTAAAGAATTATTTAATTTTATTTGTTCATTTATTTTAATTTGACCAGAGAAGGATACATACATACAGAGAAAGAGAGAGAGAGAAGGAAAGTGAGAAAGCAAGCCACCAGGTCTGGGACTCAATCGTAGTTGACCAGGTGGGAGTGTCCAGCACCTTAACCACCATGCCACCTGCTGATCCCTGACATGAGTATTTTTATAAGTATCTTCTAGTGCTCAGGCTATAGATCTCAAAGTGGAAATGATGTAGGAGACAAGTGCATTGTTGACTGTACTAGCATAATTCTAAGTACAGCTGGGAATCTTTATTATCATTGACCATTTTAAGATTCCTATTTGGTAAAATACCTGCTAATAAATCTGCCATTATTTTAATAATAAGTGGGTATAGAGGGGTGTTTTGTTAAATCTTTAGAGATCCTCCTACATGTGGGCTTGTTTTTCTTTTAGTGTATTTCTTTTTCTTTCTTTTTCCTTTATTCATGATATTTCATGTTAAGTATATGAGATTTAGAGAAATACAGGGAGGTAAGCAGAGAGGGAAAGTGAAGCACTTTCCTTAAGCAGGGTCTGGTCATGCCATGATCCCCTTCCTTCAGTCCTCCAACTAATCAGATCTACCTGGAATTAATTTTTGTGGATAGGATAAGAAAAAGGTCAATTTTATTTCTTACTATTCCAACAACTTATATTGAAATGACATCCTGCACCACTGATTCTATTTTTACTCATGAGAGGATATGTATGCACACATGAGAGAGAAAGAAGTACCCTTGACAGGGTCTCATGCTGTGACGCCCTAACCAGCCCTCCAGCACATCAGGATCTTGGACACACACCTGGTGTGCTTCAGAGATCCAAACTGTGGTCAGCCATGTGGCTTCTAGCACTGGTAGTAAGCTACCAACTGCACCACAGACGCTGGATTCACCACGGAAATGTCTAGTGCCACCTAGACATACATCTAATGGCTCAGGATCCTGATGGGTAGGGAAATTGGAGGAAACAGGTTCACAGAATGACAATGCCCCATTAGGGATTGGCTGCTCTCTCTCTTTCTCTCTCTCTCTCTCTCCCCCCCCCCTTCTCCCTCCTTCACATATACATGCACATGCATGCTCTCTAGCTTAAAAAATGTTAGGGCTTTATAGTATTCTATTATATGACTGTGACATAATTTAGTTA